TCTTCGTGGGCGTGTTCTCTCCCCCGTGGAATGTAAGCTCTGGGAGGGCAGGGGCTGTTTCATTGTTGCCCTTGTCCCCTCACTGCTTGATGGAGTGCCTTGTACACAGCAGGTGCTTAGTAAATGCTTGTTGCTTGATTGACTGGCGTGTCCCTTTTTACTGTGGGTAAGAGGCTGAGGAGAGAGAAGGTGCTCAAGTCACACCGCCGTTCCATTATTTCTGTAGAGCACACACAGTATACGTGGAACCAAAAGACCTGGGAGGACAAGCTGATCCAGGTACGTGGGATGGGCGGGGAGGGGCAGGGCTGGTCTAGAGCCATAAGGAGTCTCAGCGTCCATTTTACAGATGAGGAAACCGAGGGTCATACAGGCAGTAAAGGGCAGAGTCGGGATTTGAACCCAGGACTCCGCCTCCCGAGCTCTTTCCTCTGCGTTATGCCGCCCACCCAAGATGTCCTGCAGCCCTAGGCTTTGGAGGTCTTTGGGGATCCCAAGAAGCTTCACTCACCACCTACTACTCGTTAGATATTGACCAAACACCTACCTTGTGGGTGCGTCACATGACTGATGGAGGTGGGAGGAAAGCCCCTTCTGCCCCAGGCTGTGTGGCGGGGTAGACTTAGAGTTGAGAGAGCCCTGGGTTCAAACCCTGCAGACACCCTGCTTTTCTGAGGCGAGAATGGACTCGGGCAGCAGGGACAGCTCGGGGCTGTTGTCAGGCCCAGATGCGATGACGTCCGCACAGTGCTTTGCAAACCTGAGGCACTGGGGAAATGCCAACAGGCGGTGTCTTTGTGGTTGTGGTGGCAAGGACTGGGAGGCAGGGAGGGCAGAGTGGGGACTGGGTAGAGGGACAGCTCTGTGCTCCGGGAGGCCGAGGCCCGGGAGGCCGTGAGTTTGGTGCGCAGACGGGGGGAGTCGGAGGAGCCGGGCTCCCTTTGGGTTCTGACCCCAGCTCTGTGATCTGGGCTCGGTGACCTCCGAGACCCCTCCTCCTGGGGCCCCACATTCTGCGCAAGTCGCTCTCAGCGCCCCCGGCTGCTCTTCCAAGAGTTAGAAGAGCGTGCTGACGGATCGGCATCGGTGCAGGAAATCTCCCGTGCTGGGATTTCACGTGGCCGATGAAATCGCGGTTCTGGACGTCCGCAGAGTCACTGCGTGTGCTGCGGGTGACTGAGCGCCGCTCCCCTTCCCGCTCCCAGCCAGACTGGCCGGGCTGTCCGTCTCGTTTGCAGTTCCTGAGGATCTCCCTCAAGAGGACGCAGGGGACCACGTGGAGCCTGCGGCTGAGTAGCGAGCTGAACCGCCAGATCGTCAGCTACGAGAGCCCCTCGGTGGAGAAGGTGGGTCCTCCGCCTGCCCTGAGAAGGGGGCGCTCGGGGGGGGCGGCGCGTTGATGTTTCCAGGGGCTGATGGGCCAGCCCTAAAGTGCTGGGGGACCAGCTGTCGACCGTGGGTGGCCTTGGCCGAGCCGTTGCAAGTCCCTCGGCCTCAGGCCCGTCATCCCTGGGAGGAGGGCTTTGGACGCCGTGATCGCTGAAGTGCTTTTTGGCTCGGATAGCCCGCGTCCCCGTGAAGGAGGCAATGAGTGGTGACGATGGTGAACAACAGATGGGGGCCCACCCACAGAGAATGAGGGCCCAAGGGGACCTTCCCTCCAGAGAGGCATCACAAACTCCCTGTGTGACCTTACGCAAGCTCCTTGCCCTCTCTGGGGCCTCTCTGGGCCTCAGTTTCTTCATCTGAATAATAGGAATCACACTAGCAGCTACTTCTGGGATCACTGAGCTTGAAGGGACATAGAGGACATTTAGCTTAGCTCCCTCGTTTTACAGATGGAGAAACTGAGGCTCATTGAGGTGAGATGTTGTCCAGGGTCATATGTAGTTGTCACAGCTGGGATTCAAACTCAGGTCCTTGGACTCCAAGTCCACTGGCCCACACTGCCTTCCCTGACTTGTTGAGCACCCCAAGTGAGATAACGTATCTGAAGCGGTTTTTTATTTAAGTTCTTTAAGTTAACGAGCTTAGACGTTCTCTCCCTCTCCTGACATGAAGAAAGAGAAAAAGAAAAACAAAACTCCTGGAACAAACCAGAATAGTCAGACAAAGCAGATGCCCAGAGCGTATTTCTCATTCAGCACCCTGATTCCCCCACCTGTCGGGAGTTGTCAGTCCAGTCAGGATAGGATTGGTCACAAGGTGCCTTCCTCGCCAGGCTCTATGGAGATGTCGGCTAGTGTGGTTAGGGGGAAGAGCCCCGGCCCTGAGGCTGTGAAGCCTGGCTCCCAGTCCTGGAGCTTGGAGTGGGCCTCACTCAGTTTTCCCATCTTTAAAATGTGGGAGTTGTCACCTGGGATCATCAAGGTCTCTGACCCCCCAGTGGCCTATGGATCTTGTCTCCTCAGAAGATGAGATTCTGGGCTTGATCTTTTGGGGGGATGTCTCAGCCTCAGGGGCTCCCTTTCCTTCCAGGCCTTCCTGTACCGGGCGCTGGGCTTCACATTGGCCGCGGGGCAGGAGGCTGACAAGGTGGAGACCCAGCTCATGGAGCTGCTGCACAAGACAGATTATGGCAACGACTTTGACCGGGAGGTGAGGCCCCGACCTGGCAGCTCCCACATTCACAGGTTGTCCTCTGCTGTGCTGTGGGTCTCACGCCCGGGCACAGGGCTTTGGTGAGCAAGGGGTGTCCAGGCACAGGAGCCCAGGGAGGGAAGGCCCTCCTCAGGCCAGTGCAGCCTAGAGAAGAGGAGACTCGGGCCAGGCAAGCAGGCGTGAGACCTGTTCCCATTGGTCCCTACTGGAAGGGTGAGCAGTAATGGGTAAAAGCTGAAGATGCATTTGGGTTTGGGGTCAGGAACAACCTTCTTAACAGTGTGAGCTTTCCCAGAGTGGGCCAGGCTGTCTCAGGAGGCGGTAGCTTCTCCCTTGGGGAGGTCCTCAGGCCCAGACTTGATGAGCCCTTGGAGCAGGGAGGGTTCTTACCTGCGGTTTGTGAATGTGTTTAAAAACAATGTTGATAACTGTATTTCAGTAATTTGGCCTCCTTGGTAATTCTGTATGTCTTATGTTATGCATTTAAAAACATGATTTGGAGAAAGGTGAGTGCATGGGCTTTCTCAGGCCAACTACCTGAGGGGTCCAGGATGCACCAAAGGCGGAAGATCCTGTGCCTTCGAGTGCTGTAGGAGACTCCAGGCCAGAGACGGGTGGGGCTCCTTGGACCCTGAGGTCCTTCCCCACATGGCCATTTGGGTTCTCTGATTTCTCTGGGGAGCTGGCAGTCTGCTTGCCTTAGGGACTTGTCCTAGCAGTGACCCCTCCGCCCCAAGCCCAGGAGGGCTAGGCCCCTCACCAGCCAGGCCGGCTTAGTGGCCTATGTTCTCCCTGCTCTGTTCCTCCTTCATCCACCCCTGTCCTCGTGCCCCTTCCAGGGGGTGATCCTTTGCTTGGGACTCTGCGCCAGGGGTCAGGTGGTCACCGTGCTCCATGTGCTCCAGGAGTTTGAAGAGAAAATTCAGGAGACAGAGGATTCCTGGCACATCAGCGCCTGGAGGGTGAGGGCCACTGGGGCGGGGGAGGCCAGACTCAGGGGGCCCAGAATCGCGGCACCCATGGATGGATGGTTCACGGGAGCCTAGTCAGAAGCTGGAGGGAGGGTCCGGCTCACTCTCCTCTGTGCACCACTGTGCTCATCTGCAAAATGAGGGGTGCAGCTGGTCACTGAAGTTCCTCCCAGCTCTAAGACTCAGTGACTTTGTTGGATCAGGGGCTGGGGCAGACACTGGAAGGCGACCCTTTTAGACCCCTCACCATGGACCTGGAAGCCCTGCCTGTGGCCATCAGGGAGGCTCCCCATCCCCTATGTCATGCTATCAGTGTTTCAAACCGTTCATTCAATTCAATGCAACAAGCATTAATGGAGCACCTACTGCATGCCTGTGTTGGAAAAGTGAAAAATGGCCTCTACCCTCAACTACATTCTAGTGGGGGGGGGCAACAAGGAATCCTGGATCTGTAGTTGGAAGGGAGCTTAGGAAGGGAGTGGTCATCTGGGCTGCCGAGGTCGGGAGAAATCCCAGCGACTCTCCTACCGTCCCACAAGCGGTAAATAAAAAAGGGGGATCTGGACCCAGGTCCTCCAGCTCCTCGTGTACATGAGCAGCTCTCCACCAAGAACAGGATTTCGTTGGGGGAGGGACTAAAGCACCAGAGCCAGGGGCTGGGGGTGCGGCTCAGGGTCCCCTGAAGAGAGCCAGGGAATGGAGAGTCTCAGAGAGCATTCCAGGCTGCAGCGAGCAAGAGAAGGCAAGTCCGGCAGCTGTGAACTGTGGTGCTCAGGGCCCTCAGTTTCTCTATCTGTAAAGTGAAGGGGCTGGGTTCGAGGTAGTCGAACTCTTGGACCTTCTTGCTGAGAGGCTGGGACTGCCAGGGCTCCTTTGCTCGCTTTCAGAGTGACCACCCCTGGAGGAGGGAGGTGGTGAAGAGTGCCCTCATGGTGATGTACAGCAGTGTGGCTGCTCACTGCCACCCAAGAATGCTCCTGTCCTGCGTGGAAGGAGACATCACCAGGAAGATCCTGCATCACTATGCTACCAGCTGCCAGGTGCCCCCGGGGGGGGGGGCTTGAGCCTGGGTCTGGCTTGTGTGTTCTCTGGGAGGGGGCAGCTCGGGGCAGTGAGGCTGGCTCGGGCATCCAAGGGAGGAGGCCAGCGGGTCTCCCCTGCCTCCCAGGTGCCCCCAGAGCTTCCTGCATGCTAAAGAGAAGCCAAGGCCCTGGGGTGGGAGTCCGCAGCTCTTCCATCATGACACAACTTCCTTTTCCTCTTGGGCTGCGGCTCCTGCCCCATCCTTGCGGTCACAGGATGTTTCTCTGAAGCTAGCCTTTGTCCAGAGCATCAGTCAGATCTGTCTGGCCATCCAGGCCTTGGGCAAGGTTGACTTTGACTATACCTACAAACCAGAGCTCACCGCTAACCTCATGGTGAGCTGGGAGTAGGTTCTGCCTGACTTTGGGGACTGGGAGGTGTTCCTGGGGCTGCCTGGGCCTGGTCATTGGACAGCCTGACTGCAGCTTACCCGCAGTGGGCAGGGATGACTCCATCTCTGGATTCCACTCAGGGCCCTTCACCAGTGGGAACTGGGGGCCTGGGCTCCCTCTAATGAGAGGTACACTGAGGCCCCAGGAGTAGTAGAGGGTGTGTGTGTGTTGTGTGTGTGAGAAAGAGTGTGTGTGTATGTGAGAGTGTGTGTGAGAGTGTGAGTGTGTATATATATGTGAGAGAGTGTGTATGAGTATGTATGGGAGAGAGTGTGTGTGTCTGAGTGTGTGTATGTGAGAGTGTGTGTGAGTGTGTGTGTATGTGAGAGTGTGTGTGTGTGTGTGTGTGTGAGAGTGTCTGTGTGTGGTGACAGAGACAGAGACACACACAGAGCAGAGAATAATTGAGGGAGGCTGAGAATAGGACTGAGCGGCTAGGGTGAAGACCTTGCTCCCAAACCCCTTTTTCCTTATCAGGCATGTGGGGGGTGGTTCTAGACTGCAGGGGTCTTAATGTGGAGCCTGTGACTTTATTTGACATTTTTTAGTAATTATGTTTCAGTATGTTTGGTTTCCTTTGTAACGCTCCATATTTTCTCGTGTGCATTTAAAAGACCCTTGGGCCTCCCCAGCCAGCCACACGGAAGCCTGGATCTAGGAGTCCCTGGGTTAGGGGTGCTGAGCATGAGCAGGGGGCCTTGGGGCAGTCACCTTCTGGGGCCTGGTCTGGGATTTTGGGGGGTGCTCTTGCCCAGTCTGAGGGGCCATGCTGCTCAAAGGGGAGGGGCGGACGACCTTCAGAAAGTGAGGACCAGGCAGATTTTCCATTGAATTTGGAGAGACAGTGATCTGTAATGGTTAGAGCTATGGGCTTGGCGTCAGAAGACAGGACTTCAAATTCTCCTCAGATGCTCATTTTGGCTAGGGATTGTTTCATTGTTTGTGCTTGTAACCCCAGCACCGAGACAAGTGACTGGTGCATAAGAGGGGCCAAATAAATCCTTGTTGGCTAATTGTGGGGCTGTGGACAGATCATTCCAACTCCCTGAGCCTCAGTGTCCGTGTCTGTAAAATGGGGACGGTAATAGCATCTACCTTATGGGATTTCTGAGAGACTCAGATGAGATGGTATAGGTATTATTAAAGCCCTTTATGAAAGGGCTCTATGTGCCTGTTACCATGATTATGGTCAGTGTCATTCTTGCTTGCTTCGTCGTTTGTACTGGGCAGGTGATCCTCAAGACAGAGCCGCTGGACACTCTGGTGTATCCTGTGCGCTGCCTGACAATGAATGCGCTCTGGCACCTCAGGTAGGCTGGGTCTGTGCGCGAGAGGCAGGCATGACCCCATCTCAGAGCTCGGCCCTCGGAACCCATATTGTCATCGGAATGCCCTTTACCGTCTCACAGCTGGGCCATAACTCACCATGCTAGGGACAGAGTTCCAAGAAAGCGTGACTGGGGGATTAATCCCTTCGGGGAGATGGCCTGAGAGGAGGAGGGAGGGTGGCAATGAGAGCTGCTCATGGTCAGAGTGACAGCTGAAGTAAACCAGGCCTGGCTTCCTGGGGGGATGAAGCCAGCCACCATCTTTGCAGGCCAGGGATGGTCTGGCCCCGGGGCCTCTCCCTGGGAAAATGCAGCAGGTGCCCATGGAAAGGGAGCGCACTGTATCGAACACGCTGCTCAAGCCCTGTGTGCTCTGAGAGTCTCGGCTCACACTGATCACAGACGGGACCTTCGTTAGGTGAACTTCGAGTTCCTCCTGCTAACACAGACTTGTACTGGGAGGCACGGCCATCTTCCCTCCTTTGTCACTTATCATCTTTGAAACCTGGTGCAAGCCCCTTCCCTCTCAGGCCTCATTTCCTCCATCTGTAAAACGGGGAGGTTGGACTTAATGATGATGGCCTCTTCTTGTTCTGAATCCTGGGGACCCTATAACCCAACCGGCCATTGTCCCACAACTCTGCTGTCCATTGGAGAAGTATTTTGAGAAAGGTCCACGTACAGACTCCTGCGGCACACCTCGGCTCTCCTGGGCTTACCTTGGACATGCCTGGACTAGTCTAGGGGCTTACAAAACACGAGGATGACGCAGACGCTGTCACCCTAACAAGCAAATTGATTCCCTGGAAACCACCATAATAGGGCTGCTTACGTCATGCATTTAGTGGATAGGCACGCAACCTCTCCCACCCAGTGCACAGGCGTGTGTGTGTGTGTGTGTGTGTGTGTGTGTGTGTGTGTG